GCACGCACCCGGCGCCGCAGACCCCCAGCAGCTCTGCAGGCGCAGCCGGGACCGTTCCTGCGGCACGCGGTGAGCTGGCCCGTAGCGTGTCCTCGCCATCAGGCACGGACCCACAAAACTTGGCAGTTCCTCTCAAAACCGGACTAATTCTTGCAAAGAGGCTGCAAAAAGGCTCCTCTGAGCATTGCTGGTGCTCAGCTCTATCCTTTGAGGGCTCAGCCTTCCCTGCTTACCCTGGGATCGCAGAGGGTGCTTCACTCTGGTCTTCACCCCCAAACTGCAAACCCCCCCGTGCTCCCATCGGTGTGCATTACTCAAAGCAGCTCCTCAAAAGCCAATGGTGCGGGGACGGGTCCAGCCTTGCTGTCCTGTGGAGCCCTCTGTCACTGGAGACACCTTTATGGCCCGGAGTCGACAAGCTGCCAACTCGCCTCCGGATAAAAACCACCCGGGGTTTGTAAATCCAGGCAGCAGCAAAGCTCCGGGTTGGGCTTAGCGCGCCGCCCTCCTCGCACCGGAGCAGCCCCAGGCTGAGCCACGGAGCCGGTTTGGCCGGCGCGGGGCTGCCGGCAGCGCTGTCGGGAGCAGGGCGCAGGGTGCTGGCGATGTGCAGGGACTCTCGCTTTCAGCAGCCCCACTCTCGCCCATGCTCGGGCTGCCTCGGGCGTCACCTGCGAGAGAGAAAACCAGTCCCTGGCACGTCCCGGTGTCCCTGCTCTGCAGAAGCTGCTTTGCCCTCAACTCTTGGCATTAGCAGAGCATGGCGGTTGGTTTAGCCCATTTTACCCCTAAAACTGAGGCTCAGGGAAGGCTGGGACCAGCTGGGGCCAAGCCTGAGATCCCCTGGACTCTCCCCCCTGGTAAAGGTCCCCATCCATCCCCAAAACATGCTAGTGGAGGCCCTGCAGGGGAGCGTGGCTGAGCCACACAAAGCCCTGGGGAGGAAAGAGGATGAACCTGGGGAGCAGAGACTGGGAGCCATGCTGGTCCGGGGCTGCGCCCCACCAGGGGCCAGCACCTCGGCAGCCAAGAGGGAGCTGGCAGGGCGCTGGGATCCATCCTGGCAGCCATCAGCACCTGCCTCTGTGGGCAGCGGAACAGAAGGAAAAGGCAAGGGGGGAGGGAAATGCTCTGCGGGGTCCCCTCCTGCCCGTGTCCCAAGGGACCTGCCACCTGGCGGGGCTGGTGTCTACACAAACATTTGCTCTGCTGACATGCCAAGCGCCCGGCACAGCCGTCCCCGCCTGCCACCCAGGCATGGCCCCCCCTTGTTGATCCTGGCCCGTTCCAGGGGATTGTGCTGCCAATTTACACCAATATGAGCAATCAGGTTGGGGACTTGGTGGCTGGGACTTGGCTGGGTGGCTCATCCCTTATGGCAAAGCCTCCATCAGAAGGAAATGCAGAGGTTGAGTCACCTCTGAGTCACCCGGGAGAGCGGGGCTGGGCTTTACTCTCCACGGGTGGGATGGTTCCCCCACCCCCAAGTGAGTGTAACGTGGTGAGGGAGGGATTCTGGCAGGTCAATGAGATGAAGTCCAGCGAGAGATGATCTTAAAGGTCTTTTCCAACCTAAATGATTCTATGAGCTGCTCCACTGCTGTCTCCCATTGCATCTCTTCACCCACTTCTGCTGCTGCTGTTTCTCCAGGTTGGGTGACTCTGGCCTCCACCAGCCCCCATGGATTGGAAAACGCTGCAGGCACTGCTCAGCGGAGTCAACAAGTACTCCACAGCCTTCGGCCGCATCTGGCTCTCCGTGGTCTTTGTCTTCCGCGTGCTGGTCTACGTGGTGGCAGCTGAGCGCGTGTGGGGAGATGAGCAGAAGGACTTTGACTGCAACACGCGGCAGCCGGGCTGCACCAATGTCTGCTCCGA